GACGGGGGAGGACGGGCAGAAGGCGGCAACGACTGACCGTGCCACAACAATGCCGTGTGTGACACAAAATGCTCTTTTATGATTTTGCTATGATTTGCAATACAAAATGTCCTTTGTAATGCTGTATAACAGAAAATAGGTATGCTACCGCAGTGAGCGTATTGTGATTTGCTAGCAGAGTGCTTGGGTGCTTTTGCCTGCAGAGGGCCTTTTTTTCTCTCGCAAGCTTCTCTCCTCACACTATTGCGTGTATTTGCATGTGTTTGTGTGCCGCAGCGAAGATCTCTTCTTCTACTTGCTGTTCTTACGCGCGCTGACGGCCTACTTCTTTTGCCATGCTGTCCGCGTTTACCGACCATCGACATGCGTGTGCCAAGTGGAAACGTATGCGTCCTCATTGGAGACAACCCGGTAAGTCACACTTCTTCACACTACGCCAAGGCATCGACCCCTTTTTTCAAAACAAAGCTTGCTTCATCGAACCCTTCCATTTGTTCTATATATTGAAAATACAAAAATATATCGAGCACTGTTCTTAAAGATAACAATTAGCCAATCAATAATTGAACAATGTGCGAAAAACAGGGCTTTGATATTTGCTATTGATGCTTTTAAACCACCAAATATAGACAAGATCTCAAAAAACAAAAATTAAAGCATTAGAAGTAATATTACAATATTCACAAAAATATATTTTCGTCAATGGCCGATATTGACTTCTGAGTAAACAGTACACGACCCCGCAACACTGAACGGAGCCATTTTTAAGAAAACAGACGCAGACAACGGCAGACAAGCCGACAGGCTATAACACGAGGACGACAGACATAATATTACGAAGAGACCGGAACGCGACATCAAATAGGGCCGGACAGACAGATGCCGGACAGACAATGGCCGGACAGGACAAGATGGGCCGGACAACAGTGGCGGACGACAGTTGGGGGACCGGCAGATGACGGACGGACGACCGGCGGACAGAGCAGACAGACAGAGCGACGGACAGACGGATAGCGAAGACAGACGGAAGGTAGATAAACATGGACAGACAGGGGACAAATATAGCGACAGACAAAGAACAACTTTTCGTATAGGGGATCCAATCATGGTTTTCTGCTGAATCTTCGAAATCAATTTTTCCGCACATTTACTCAATTTTCACTATACTTCGTATAATTACTCCGCAAAATACGTACGTGTACGAAGACCATAAAAATATGCTAATACTGTTCATCATGCAGATGCCCAACTTATTCTTAAAATTCACTTTCTTTGTAACTACACCTCCTTGCGAAAATTGTGTGAAATTCACAAAAAAAATACAAAAAAAAACTACTCATGGCCGCTTTTCATGAAACAATTTAGATTTTGAACACTATGTCAGAGTACGTGAACAACATTCAATCTTACTTACTATGAAATCCAAAAAAGACAATAATGTATTAATAAGTGTAAGCTGTAATGAGCTAGATTAGAGAAAAAAAATGTTTATTACCTTTTCTATCAAAAATTACAAAAACAATCAGAACAAGATACACGGTGACCATTT